AAATAGTCGACAAATAATTCGTAATGATTCAAACCCTATCATATGTGGAGGTCGAAACCAACACAATAGAATTTATTAGGGTTTTTCAAAAAAAGTTGAGATATTTGAGATAGAACCAAGTAGACAAGAACGAATATGCAAATTTGCTGTAAAGAAAAGTTTTATTGATTATTTGCTAAGTGCCTTTGCGTAAAGTTTTTTCATTCCATTTTCAAGAGACGTACATGTCTATTTATACAAGTTTTAGGTCGGCTAGACCAACTTCTCAAGAGATAAAGAAGATTTTCTAATTTTTAGGGATTTCCTATTATTAAAGTCGGTTCTGATTACAGGCTCTGTCTTCATGGGCTTTGAGCTCGTCGCGTATTTCTTTGAAGCTTGACCTCACCGACTTTGTATCTTGGGCCTCGAACTAATTGAGCTCGTCACTTCGTCCTCGTTGATCTTGGGCTCGCCATCTCGTTGTCTCGCCGTAAACTCTTAATTTGGCCTAACTCGTCTTATGATAAATGTGTCTAGCTTGGCCTACAGCAAAGCCAGTCCTTGGCGAGATCTCTATTTCAGCTCGTTCATCAAGCCAGCTCGCCAATTGGTTTGTTTCATCTTGGTCAGCTCGCCACTAATTGTTGACTTAGTCAGCTCGCCACTCTGCCTGTTGACTTAGTCAGTTTGCCATTCGGTCAGCTCGTCATTCTGCATGTTGACTCAGTCAGCTTGCCACTAAAGCAGCTCGCCAGATAGATCTGTTGACTTAGTCAACTCGCCACTAAAACTGTTGATTTAGTCAGCTCGCCACTAAAACTGTTGAATTAGTGAGCTCGCTAGAAAAATGATACTTAGTTATTTTTTTGATAATTTCAACTGAGGAGAGTTTTGACCCCAACATCATATAATTTTTTTAATAGTCTTGTTTGTGCGTATAAGTTCCTTTTTCGTTTTTGCTAAAAATGCGTGTAAGTTCTTAATTAGTACCTGTATATTTAAATCATCCCATACAAGTACGTAACATTAATGTATAGATTGAAAGTTTGAGCTTAACTACTGATCATATTACTACTGTGTTCATGATCGCTTTAATTTTCTAAGAGCATGATTAATGGTAGTATTTAGTGATTTTTAATGGAATTCTAAAATATTAAAAACAATTAAATAGTACACAAAATACTTAAAACCCCAATAGAAATGTTTTAATTTTAGAGATTTAGAATCCTAAAATTTAGAGATTTAGAACCCCAAAAAAAATTTATAATAAAAAATCACTTAGAAGTCCAAATTAACAAATTACCATTAATTATGATTTAATGTAATAAATAGACAATAATTATTGGAGATATTCCATATTTAAAAAACTCAACATTTATTTTTTGTAAAAAATAATTGTCGCGGGAGAACCACGAAGCATAGATAACGTCATCAAAGGAATCAGTACAGTCAAATTGTACTTTGTAGTGTAGGACGCACTTTTTTTTTTTTCCATCTAAAGATATTGATTTATACTATTTCTCAAGCTAACATTATAAAGGAGCGAACGACAAGCCCGAACACGGGGAGCGAAGTCCAAAAAAGAGAAACTATGCTCAAACGAGAGGAGTTTACAACCTCGGACCTAAAACGAAAGCATGTCTCAGACGAGAGCACCACTCGAAACTAAAAGCGATACTAAGGAGAAAACACTATTTATATTGCATTTGATGTAAAAAAAAAGGAAAAAAACTATAATAAACTCTTAATAACAAACATTTAACAACTACTTCGATAGAATGAAATTAACTTATTTCTGCAATTCTTCTGTTACTATTATTTCGTCGTGCTGCGTTTGAGATTTGAAACTCGGCATGCCAAAAAATAAGAAGAGAGATTTGATTCGAAACTTGGACTTAAGTACTAACTTTAGGTATTTTTGCATATAATTGATAATTAGTGGACTTGAGCAAAAGATAAATCTCTATCGATCAGATTCGAGGATAATTTAGATTAGAATATTAGGATCAACCAATGGATTTAACATAACTGAAATCCATTTTTCTTTTTAAAGACGAATCAGAGACAAATT